CGCTACTCGCCAAAGTAGGAGGTGGAACAATGTTTTGTATAGTATGTTATGCCAATTGAGCTTGATGTCCCCTGCAACTATGGTCCCAAGCCCGCAGGTTCAACTACTCGGTCCCTCTGGGTAGCTGGCTGTGACCAAGCAGTGACCACATACTTGCCCACAAGGGGGTGGTTTTAAAGAACAGAAATTTATTTTCTCAGTTTAGGAGGCTGGAAGTCTGAATTCAGGGCCCTAGGGGAAGATCATTGCATCTTTCAGCAATGAGCTTTCCTTGGTTCCTAGCGATCTTTGCGTGACATCTGTCTTCCCCAGTACATGCTTGCTTGACTCTGTGTCTATGCTGCTCCTTATAAGGCAGGAGTGATTAGGTTTAGGACCTTACACCTATGTGGCCTTGTTACCATAATAAAGAAAACCCCATTTCCACATGGGATTCTAACACATATTTTGGAGGGACACAATTCAATTCATAACACCCCCTTTTTTAAAAAAAGGGGGAAAAATTGCCGATTTTTCAAAGTATAAAAGTGATATTAATTGTAAAAGGAAGAAAATACAGAGAAGCAAAATAGAAGGAAGAAGAGAGGGGAAAAGTCACCAGCCCCATCATCCTCACCCTCTTCTTAAAATTTTTGCTGCAAATAAACACATCAAAACGGTCACCAACACGACAGCTTCCATATTTACATTTCCATGGCATCAATCACATGTTTCATGTTACGCCACCATTAAACTAAAAAAAAAAACCACTCACTGCCATCAAGTCAATTCTGACTCATAACGACCCCCTTTGGGTTTCTGAGGCAGTAAATCTTTACAGAAGTAGATTGCCCGTCTTTCTTCTGCAGAGTGGCTGGTGAGTTTGAACCGGCAGCCTTCTGGTTAGCAGTCAAATACCTTAGGCATTGTGCCACCAGAATTAGTGCCCTCTTCCAAAATATTCTACCACCATTAACAAACTCAGTGACCTCCGAACAAAAACTCCCCTTTTCCCCTCCCTCCCACTCCCTGTAACCATCAATAATCTTTGGTTTCTGTATAGTTGCTTATTTCATATACGTGAGACCATGCAGTATTTGTCCTCTTGTGACTGACTGGTTTCTCTCAGCACGATGTTTTCAAGGTTCATCCATGTTGTGGCATGCACAACACCCTCTGTTTAGAGATGGAAAAAATAGGGCTCAGAGGTGTGCAAAAAGCATCACATCTACTTGTTTGCTACACATCAGCTTTATCCTTGGTCTTGCTGGATTGTTGGGAAATCCAGCTGCATTCATTGTTCAGGGTTTCCTGCCCCCACTCTTCCCCCTATCCCCACCCTGGAGTTGTGCCAAGGCTCTGCGATTTTTGACATTGTACCTAAGCATCAGCAAAGCTCGGGGAAATATCTTTTATCTGTGTAGTCCAGGAAAAATTCCTCTTTCAAACACTATTTGTCTCAGTGGACTTGGGCTTTGGACAACAAAAGCAGGAAGCGCAGAGTCTGTTCCCTGCTGGATTAAGGGAAGAAAAGAGAGAACACAGGGAGGCAAATGGAAGCGAGTGTCTCCGAGTGTTACCTGTGCCAAGCCGAGGTCACATGGCTGGTGGAGCATTGAGGGTCCTCCTCTCTTAGACCAGGGTTTACCTGCTTTGGGCCTCATTTACTGCATCTTTAGAAGGGAGCTGGAGCCTAGGTTCCATCGTGCTGTGTTCATTGGAATGAGCAAGAGTGATGGAAAGCACACTGACTCTCAAAGCCCGCTCTTGGAAAGGGAAAGGGTGTTCAGGGCACTCATACTTCCTTCTCTTGACCTGCCCTCAAGACCTGGCCTTAAGGGATGCCTTTGTGAACGCCTCTCGGAGCCTGTATGGCAGCAGCCCCAGAGTCCTGAGCAACGACAGTGATTTGAACCTGAAGCTCATCAATAACTGGGTGTCCAAGAACACCAACCACAAGATCAGACAGCTGCTGGACAGCCTGCCCTCCGACACCCGCCTTGTCCTTCTCAGTGCTGTCTATCTGAGAGGTAAGGAGACCCTCGATCAGGCGGCCTTCCCATTCTGGATTCTTCCTGCCCTCCTGGCCACAGAGCCCACCAAATGCAGGCTGTGTAACTGGATCCCGAGGTAGCAGCCCCAGCCCTTTCCAGCAGGGCTTTTAGCTCTTCTTCATGGTCACCCCAGCTGCCCTGGAGCTGCCCCCCTCCTTTCTCTTTCCTCTAGCCAAGTGGAAGACAACATTTGATCATAAAAAAACCACGATGGAGCCCTTCCACTTCAAATCCTCTGTGATCAAAGTACCCATGATGACTCACAAGAAGTACCCAGTGGCCCATTTCACCGACCCGACTTTGAAGGCCAAGGTCAGTTCTTGGCCTTTACCACTCCTGTTTCAAAGCCTGATGAGTATCCTGATTTCTTTTATGCTACGGCCCCCATTCTTTTTGGGGTCCACCCTTACATCATTTCTACTCCTTTCATCTGTATTTCCACCCTATCTTTTCTACTTCTCCTCTCTCTAATTTTGGCCGAGGCAGGCATTGTGTGCTTAGGCTGGAAGGCAGGATTCTAAAGTTTCTTCATTCATCTCTACTGAATCTAATGGCAAAAAGTGAGTCATACTCCTATTCTGTGCCTCTGTTTCTCATTTTGGTCAACCCATCAGTACACCTCGGTGACTTGGTAAGTTTTGTATGTGTACGTACCTGTGTATAGCATACATATGTGTATGCACATGTATATAGGTATATTTGTATGTGTGCATATATGTGATATGTGCGTGTGTGCACATATGTTCAATGGCTTGAGTTCCTTAGGAGAAATTGGAAAATGTAATTTCAATGGATAGGGAGGGAGGAAAGACAGAATATGGAGCCCAGTGGATTCTGGTTAGTAAACCACTCCTGCCTAGAGACCAAACCTTTCTATCTGTCTATTGATATTGTTGTTTTGGGGTCAAGTCAATTTTCTACTCATAGCAACTCTATGCGACTGGAGTAGAACTACCCCGTAGGGTTTTCTAGGCTGTAGTTTTTACAGGAGCAGATCACCAGATCTTTCTCCTGCCAACCCGCTAGTTGAGTTCTGTCTTGTTAGGAGAGAAAAACCTAGACCCAGGAGATAGGAAACAATGAGAGACACCCAATGACTCAGTGTTATGCTAGGAAGCAGAGGACCTGTTCTTGGAACAAGCTTGTTTCCCACCTTGGGAGCTTTTCCTTCTGGCTGGACCCCTCTTCATTCAGATCTTCACGTAGCTTGTACTTTCTGGTCATTCAGGTCTTAGCTCAGTGGTCACACTGGTAAAGAATCCTCACTCCTGCCTTACAGTAGCCTCCTCCTCACTCTGTAATATTGCCAGATTTTGTTATATTCAGTACTTATCACTGCCTGAAATTCTGTTGTTTATTTGCTTACAGTATTATCTAGCTCCTTGATGTGGTCTCTCTCCTTGGGAACAGGGACCTTGCCTGTCTTGTTTCCTACTATATCCCTAGTACCTAGAACAATGCCACATACGGGAGCTGTTCACTAAATGTTGGTTGAGTAAATGAAATTTATGGCACGTTGAGGGCACCATTCTTACTTACAGCAGATGAAAGAGAGTATCAAAGTGAAGTTTTTTAATTTCAAAGGAGGAGGATTTTTATGCATAAAAGACTATTTACAGTTCATTAGCTTGTTTTTTTGTTTGTTCTTGTTCATTTTTTTAAAAAAGTGTTCTTTTTTGTTGTTGAGAATATGCACACAGAACATACACCACTTCAGTAGTTTCTGTGGATAGCTCAGCAACACTGGGGACATTCAAGTTATGCAAGTATTCTCACCTTTTCTGAGTCATTCCTCCCCCATTGACATAAACTCACTGCCCCTTAAGTTTCCTATCTAATATTGGGGGTTGCTATTGTCAATCTGATCCCATGGAGACAGGTCTTAAAAGAGCACAGTGCTCAAGGCAGGCATTGTTTACTAGGCTCAACTATTGTTTGGTTTTAAGAAGACTGCAGGGAGTGTTTTTGGTTTAAGGTTTTTTTTTTTAGGATTTGGGTGAAGATTTACAGAGTAAATTCACTTTTCATACAGCAGTTCACATATATGGTTTAAGTTTTAAAGATTATCTCGGGGGAATAGTTTCAAGGGTTCATCTTGTCTCCATGGTGTCAGAAAATCTGGATTCCGTGAAAAATTGAAATTCTGTTCTTCATTTTCCTCCTTTGGATCTAGATTCTTGTATGGAATGTTTGATCAAGATGTTCAATAATGGTAGCTGGGCACCATCCATTTCTTCTGGTCTCATGACAAAGGAGGCAGTTGTTCATAGAGGCCATTCATTGGGTTTTAAACAAATATTTAATACTAGTGCTATAAATTCAAAATCAAAGTTTTACTTACGCATTTTAAGTTAACTTTGCTATCCTGTTTATAACAGAGCAATTTTTATATAAAAGAACATTAATTCTCTATTGTTCTTTAATTAATTAAATTGTGTTGAACAGATTAAATTCCTTTAAGCCAGTCGTTCCGTTTACAAACTTAATTAATATTTCCATAAGCATTTCAAGCTCCCTTTATAAATTTGATATGCTTGATTTTGTTTTTAAGCACATTAAATACTTAATGGCAAAATTATAACCCTGCTAGACAATCTTCCTAAATACCTAAAGCCTACTTTAAAAATTAAATTTGAAAGTAAATCAACTTCTGTTTTACCTCTTAGTATCATTCTTAATCTTAGTGAAATTATCTTATGATTTTTAGCTTAAAAGTGTAAAACTCTGATGTTAGCTTCTCTTACAAACTACAAACCCTATTTTAAATAACAACTACACTGATTAGTCTTAACATCCAGTGTTAATATTACGGAGTTGGTTTATTCTTCCATTTCCATATTGAATTCTAGGCCTTCTTGGAATGTAAGGATATTAACCCAACTAGAAGTTTAGATTTACCAGGTCAAGTGTGCTGAGGTTGTTCTTGTTGTTGTTATATGTCGTTGAGCCGGACCTGACTTATAGCGACCCCTCCTTGAGTTTCCGAGGCAGTATCACTACGGAAGTAGATTGCCCAACCTTGGCTTGAAAATTCAAGACCATAGCATGGTAACTTGTTGGCCAGAGATTCAAGGTCTGTCCACAGGACTTGAAGGATGTATGCTGCTCCGATAAGTTCACTTTTTGGGGGGCCTATGTCAGCAGGAACCCCATGTTCATACTCTTCAGTTGTATTGGTGTGTACCTTCCTTCTTCTGAGCTATTTTTCAAGTTTCAACAGTAGATTGGTTTTAGTTCCTTTCTTTATTGCCCAGTTGAATTCTGCATTCTTCTAGATTTTTCTTGTCCCTCTTTCAGCCTTAACCATATGCCATTTTAAGGATAGTTTCTTATCCCCTGTTAGACGGGAGTTTCTCAGCTTTACTGACGTGACAGATTGCCTCGCTCTTTATGGTGTGGATGCTGCCCTGTGCGTTGTAGGAGGTTTAGCAACATACCTGGCTTCTACCCACTAGATGCCAGTAGCACCTCCTCCACGTACACACGCAGTTGTAATGACCAAAGTATCTCCAGACATTACCAAATGTTTACTGAACAGCAGATTCTCCCTGGGTTGAAAACCACTCTATCAGTCCCCTGTGTACTGTTTTTGTCTGACCATCAGTTGAAAGCCCTCCTAATGGCGAGCTGGAAAGATAAACTAGGAGAGGCTTGTATGCCACACTAAGAGATTTGCACTTAATCTCTAGGCAGTGAAGAGCAATCAAAGGAGTTTAAAGGGACTGGCCTAGTAACTCCGCTGGTACATTATGCATATGGTGTACTTTACACACACACCCTTGGGATGAGGAGATGGGCTCATTAAGATCAAATCTCCTGTCGATATCATGGCTTATAGCACTCTTGGCTACTCACCAAGAGGTCAGTGTTTCTAGTCCACCCAGAGGCTCCTTGGAAGAAAGGCCTGGCAACCTACTTCTGAAAAATAAGCCACTGAAAATCCTACGGAGCACAGTTCTCTTCTGACACACACGGGGTCCAGTGAGTTGGAGCTGACTCCATGGCAGCGGGCAACAACCGGGGTCCCTGGCAACAACTGGCAAGTCATTGGTGGAGTCACAGTATGATCTTAGACCCGTGTGATTGGAAACACATGCTCCTTCTTCTGCACCTCGTCGGCACCGAGTCAGACCAGCACTGCTCACCCAGCTCCCATCCCCATTAGCACAGTCTGGGAGCCTGGGATTGGCTGCAGGAACAGTACAGACTGTAGCAGCTGGACTGGAGAAGAGCCAGGGGCCAGGCAAGAGCCAGGGTGAGAAAGCTGACAAGGTGTATCTCGTGCTCTCCAGGTGGGCTGGCTGCAGCTCTCTCACAACCTGAGCTTGGTGATCCTGGTACCCCAGCATACGAAACACCGCCTTGAAGATCTGGAGCAGGGCCTCAACCCCACTGTCTTCAAGGCCATCCTGAGGAAGCTGGAGATGACCAAGTTCCAGCCCACTCTTCTGATCATGCCCCGCATCAGAGTGAAGAGCAGCCAGGACTTGCTGGGAATCATGGAGAGAATGGGTGAGTCCTGGCAACCTGGGTCACCACCTAGGCCATCAGAGGAGAAAGGGGGTCCCTAAACTATAGCTAGCATTTCTTAGAGTGCTTTTGGTACCCATAATCGCAGACTATCTGTGTCTCAACCACTCAACTCTCTCTGGGCCCAGCCACTCAACCAGGCCCAACCAAGTTGACACACAAACATAACCACCACACACATCCTGGTATATGACATCACATCCTTGCATGTGATCTTGTTTTGTAACACATGACATCGCTCTGATACATTACCTCACGTTCAAGGTCCTTGGAAGCAAGGAAGCAATGACATCATTTTTCAAGGTTTTGGTGGGAAGGGAGAGGCAAGGCCTCTCACCTTTTGAGAGAGAGTGGTGGTTGGAGCAAAGATGGGCCCACTGAGGGGGGATCCCCTAACAGACCAAATACATAATCTGACAAATCCTGGTGGCAATGGTTAGTACTTGGCTGCTAACAGACATCTTCTGCAGCTGAGAATCTCATGCTGGTCACTGATCCTTTGTTTTCCTCTGATTATGCCCTAGAATTCTTTGACTTCACTAATGACCTCAACCTGTGTGGGCTGACGGATGACCTAGACCTTCAGGTGTCTGCAATGCAGCACCAGGCAGTGCTGGAGCTGACGGAGTCAGGGGTGGAGGCGGCTGCATCCTCCGCTGTCTCTGTGGCCCGCACCTTGCTGGTGTTTGAAGTGAACCAGCCCTTCCTCTTCCTGCTGTGGGACCAGCAGCACAGGCTCCCGGTCTTCATGGGGCGGGTGTATGATCCCCGGGGCTGACACCTGGGCCAGGTTAGGCGCCTCAGCTCCCCCCAGTTGCAGCCCTGCTGCTGTGACCTAGACTTGCCCAAGCCACCTCCCGCCTCAGGTGTCCTCTGTCTGGCACCTGAAGGGGTCCCTTGGATCTGGTGAAGGGACCTGCTTCTGTCCGTCCCTCCCTGAGGCTCTGTCTTGCTCACCAAACCACCCTGCAGCTCTTTGTGCTTCACCAGACCACAAATAAAATCTGGCAGACCATGACTTCCTCTCATTGGCCTTTTGGTATTGCCTGCCTCAATAGTAGGAGCTCTGGTGGCATAGTGCCTCAGGCATTTGACTGCTAACCAGGAGGCTAGTGGTTCAAACCCACCAGCCACACCTGAGAAGGAAGGTTGGGCAATCTACTTCCAGTGTGATACCGCCTCAGAAACCCAAGGAGGGGTCACTATGAGTTGGATCTGACTCGACAGGAGTGAGTTTGGGTTTTGTTTTGGCTCAATATTAGAGGACAGGACTACCACAGACCCTGTATCAGTTAACTATTGCTGTGTAACATGTTGTAACATGTCACTCCAAACTTAAGACAGCAACCATCTATTATTCCATGTCAGTTTCTTCTTGGCTGGGTGGTCTTGCTGGACTGGGCTGGAGCTGGCTGATCTTGGTGGGCTTGCTCATGTGTCTGTAATGGCTGGTGGGTCACTTGGGTGGTGACTAGTCTAAGATAGCCTTAGCTGAGGCTACTTTTCTCTGCTCCCCATGTCTCCCACATCCCTCCCACAGGCTAGCCTCTGCTTATTCTCATGGTGGTGGCAGGATTCTAAGAGAGGAGACAAAAATAGACAGTCTCTTTTTGCATCAACTTAACATTGCCCCATTGGCCAAACCCAGAGTTAGAGAAGGAAAGCACTGTAAAAGAGTGTCAAGGACTATGCCATGGAGTGCTAGAAGAAAGAACAAATAAATCCATCTTAGGAGAAATACAACCAGAATGCTCCTTAAAGCATCCTGAGTGGATGGCATATCCCAGTCCCCACAATGGAGAGACCAGAAGAACTAGATGATGCCCAGCTACCACTGATGACCACTAGGAAAGAGATCACAAAAGGTGATCCCAGACAGAGTGAGAGAAAAATGTGGAAAAAACCTCAAAATCATAAAAAACGACCAGATTTATTGGTCTGATAGAGACTGGTGGAGCCCCGAGACTATGGCCCTTAGACACCCTCCAAGTGGGGAACTGAATTCAACCCCTGTGGCTCAACTTTCAGTCAAAGGATAGGCAGGCCTATGAGGTGAAGATGAATACCAGGAAGGTGTGTGCTCTGAACAGTCAACCGTTTGAGATCAAAGGGGTAGCATTTTCCCAGGGACATAGCTGAGAAGACAGGAAGAGACAGGAAAGAAGGACAAAGGGAAATGGTGAAACAGAGGAAGGGGGGGAGAGCGCTGTGACATCGTGGGGACTGCAATGAATGTCACAAAATAAAACGTGTGAATCTTGAGTGAAAAACCGTTTGCTCAGTAAATTTTCGCCGAAATCACAACTGAAAAAAAAGAGAAAGAGAGAGAGGGGTAAGACTTCTGCTAGCTTTCTTCATTTATTTAAACTTTTTGTTGTGATTTGGGTGAACGTTTACAGAGTGAGTTCGCTTTCCGTTCTCACATGTTTTGTGACATTGATTGCAGTCCTCACACTGTAACAGCACTCTTTCCACTTCCTCCTTATGTTCCTTGTTTCCCTTCCTCCTTCTTTCCTGTCTTCAGAGCTTTATCCCTGGGGAAATGCTGCCCTTTTGATCTGTATGGATGACTGTCCTAAGGAGTGTGTACCTCCCTGGGGTTCCTGTTCACTTTACAGACCTGTCTATTGTTTAGCTGAAAGCAAAGCCGTGGGGATGGCTAGCTTACTTTACTCATGTCATCAGGAAAGACTGCTAGAAAAAGACTTCATGTTTGGTAAAGTAAAAAAAAAAAAAAAATCCCTCACTGCCATCGAGTTGATCCTGACTCATAGCGACCCTCTTTGGGTTTCCGAGATGGTAAATCTTCACAGAAGTAGATTGCTCAGTCTTCGTTCCGTGGAGTGGCTAGTGAGTTTGAACTGCAAACCATCTGATCAGCAGTCACATGTCTTAGGCACTATGCCACCAGAGCTCCTTGGTAAAGAGTCAATTAAAATGAAGGAAACTGTCTGTCAGATGGGTCACCACAACAGCTGCAATGATGAACTCAAACATATCAGCAGTCGTGAAGATGGCCCAGAACTGAGCACACGCTGTTCTGTGTGAGGGCTCTGTGAGCCTTCATAGAACCTGACAACATTTACTCGTCACTATCCCTACCTGTAGCAACCCCTTCATTCCGTTGTAGACCCTCCCATGAGGCCCAGGTGAACTCCAGCCCCCTTATTATCAGAAGTCCCACACATGGTTGGGAGCTCTGGTAGCGTAGTGGCTAAGGCACTTGACTGCTAACCAGGAGGCTGGCGGTTCAAACCCACCAGCCACTCCTCGGAAGGAAGACGGAACAATCTACTTCCGTAGTGGGTTCAAACCCACCAGCCACTCCTCGGAAGGAAGACGGAACAATCTACTTCCGTAGTGATACTGCCTCAGAAACCCAAGGAGGGGTCACTATGAGTTGGGTCTGACTTGAAGGCACATAACAACAACACACAGGGTCAGCTGACACAGTTCCAGCAGTCTGCTTCCTGTCCCCAGCTATGACCCACTACACTACGCAGTACATTTGGTTCGAGTTGGAAAGAACTGATTAGGGTTCCACAGCAGTTAGTCTTTCCTGCCACATGATGTCACTGTTGAAGCTGTGTCCCGTATAGCCTTTTGATCACTTCCTTCTGATGGTTTTTTTGCTGGTCCAAAATTCCATTTTTTGGAGGCAATTTTATTCTTAGAGACTCCCTGGGTAGCGCAAATGGTTAAGAGCTCTGTTGCGAATCAAAAAAAAAAAAAAAAAAAAAAACCTCAAACTCACTACCATCGAGTTGAATCCGACTCACAGTGACCCCTCCTCGGCTTTCCGAAGTGGTATCTCTACAGAAGTAGATTGCCCAATCTTCCTTCCGAGGAGTGTCTGGTGCGTTTGAACCGCCAGTCATCTGGTTAGCAGTCAAATGCCTTAGGCACTAGGCCATCAGAGCTTCCCCTTCTGAAATGATCTGTTGTTGTTGTTGTTGTTATGTGCTGTCGAGTCAAACATGACTCATAGCGACCCCTCCTTGGGTTTCCGAGGCAGTATCACTACGGAAGTAGGATTGCCCAACCTTCCTTCCAAGGAGTGGCTGGTGGGTTTGAACCGCCAGCCGTCTGGTTAGCAGGCAAGTGTTTTAGCCACTATGCTACCAGAGCTCCTTTGAAATGATCTAGTTAATCTAATAAAATTAACCGGCTTAATTTTATTCTTAAACAGTGTTTTGGTTACCTAGTGCCACTCAGACAGGAATATACCACAAATGGGATGATTAACAAATAGGAGTTTATTCTTAAAAATTGGAGGCTTTACGTCCCAGTTCAAAGTGCCAGGCTCTAGGGGCTGGGTGAAAGCCCCTCAGCCTTGGGCTTCAGCTCTGCCTCCTGCTCCCGGCCCACTGAAGCTGGAGGCTCTTCTTCACTCAGCTGCTGGCTGCTGAGGCTGACAAACCCAAGGTCGACAAGTAACAAGGTGCAGTCCCAATATTACCAAACCACATGGCAGACCATTAATTCAAATACATTGGAAGTCTTGAGGTTGGTAGAGCATGGCAGGCTGCTGAACACTGACTTGGTTACATAGAGGGTTCAAGCGTGCTATAAGCTAGAGACCATTCCTAAAGCTGCTGCTTATATACGGGAAGCACACCATATCCCTAAAGCAGCTACTCAGCTGCTTGTGGTAGATCCCACCATGGAGCTGATTGCCAGTCTGATCATGGATAATAACTACCACCAGCTGCCCAGCCACTCAACCAGGCCCAGCCAAGTTGATGCACAACCTTAACTACCATAAACAGCCAACCCCAACCAAACCAAACCCGTGCTGTTGAGTTGATTCTGACTCATAGTGACCCTATGGGAATGAAACTGCCCCATAGTGTTTCTAGGGCTGTAACCTTTACAAAAGCAGACTGGCACATCTTTCTCCTGCGGAGCACCTGTTGGGTTTGAACCATCGACCTCCGAGTTAGCAGATGAGCATTTAAACATTGCATCATCAGGGCTCCTTGAAACAGTCAAAGTGGAGATTTAAACTTTGATCCCAAAGTTGATGGTTCACACTTGCTCAGCCACTGTTTCTTGAAGATGAGTTCCTTGAGTTTCTGCCTAGAAAGCCTTCTGATCTTCATGCTCTGTCCGCCCAGGCTGGTCCCTGCAAAGCACACCTGCAGCAGCAACAACATGTGTTAAGCACTTATCATGCATGCATTGGGCTGAGAATTTTGCATGGATGATTATTTTTAAGGAGCTCTGGTGGTGCAGCACCTAAGGCATTGGACTACTAACCAGAAGGTTGGCAGTTGAAACCCACCAGCTGCTCCATGGAAGGAAGATTGGGCAATCCACTTTTGTAAAGAATTGCTACCTGGGAAAACCCAAAGGGGTTTGCTGTGAGTCAGAATTGACTCGATGGCAGTGAGTTTGGTTTGTTTTTTATTATTGTTTAATTTCCTCTATTCGTCTGTCAATTTGCTGTACTGTGGTGGCTTGCATGTTGCTTTGAAGCTGGAAGCTATGCCACCAGTATTTGCAAAACCAACAGGGTCACTCACAGTGGACAGGTTTCAACAGAGCTTCCAGGCTAAGGCAGACTGAAGGAGAATCTGGTAATCTTCTAAAAAACCTTGTAAACAGCAGTTATTATCTGGTACAGTGCGGGGAGATGAGCCCCTCAGGTTGAAAAGCGCTCAGAACATGACCGGGGAAGAGCTGTCTCCTCAAAGTAGAGTCGACCTTAATGATGTGGATGGAGTAGTGCTATTGGGACCTTCATTTGCTGATGTGGCACAACTCAAAATGACAAGA